GTATATGAAGAAAATCTGGCCTCACACATATAAGTAGCTGTAACATAGAGGTGTATTTAACATTCTTTTCAGAAAAACATAGACCTTTTTTTAATACTACACGAAAACTCTGCAAGTGGTAGTTTCTTAACGGTTAGTTGCAATGTGGAATGAACTTTTTGCACTCTGTTAAATTACATTGACTTCATCAGAAAAGCTATAAGTATTTGAAAACCTCAATTTGGAAGATTCAAGCTTTTTTTTTTTCCTTTGAAGGCTCAGATTTTATCATTTGTAATGAATTCTGTCAGTTATGTTGCTTAAAGGGACAGGCTCACATTCTTTATTTTTTGAGAAAATATCTGCCAGATACTCGTCTATATAAGTATAGTTTTTCAACTGTTCTTTCAATGTAAGCAAAGTTATATAATAAAAAGGTACTAGTACAGTGTTTTTTCTTGTGACAATCATGCATCAATATGCAGCTTTTATATACCTTGCATCTTGTCACATGGAATATTAAAATGACATGCGCTCAAGATTTAATGAAATTAATAATTTGTACTGTTTCATCAAGAACATTCTTAAGTAAAACTGTGTGGTGTGTTTTTTTAATTATTATTGTTATTTTTTGTTTGTTTTTTCTGTGAGTGAGTAGTAGTGGGAAATATAATGACTTCTAGGAATTTTGGGACAAGAGCCCTCGCAGTTTTACCCACCATTGTTTTTGCACTATCTGCAAATTTCAACTCAATGAAAAAATCTGAATAACATCTGAGTCTAATTATCAAAAGAACTTTGACCTCAGGGACCCTCTGAAAGGGTCAGGGACATGCAGGGGCTTGCATATTCCACGTTGAGAACCACTCCACGAAGGGCAAAGATGGGGAACAGTTTGGGGTTTTCCCACAGGAATAAAAAAGGATGGCACATAACCCAGGCAGGAGGTTATAGCCAAACTGAGACCTGAAGGACAAATGGGAATTAGCTGGGCAAGGGAAGGAGAAGGGCTTTCCAGACTAAAAGAAGCAGCAGGTACAAATGAGAGTATGTGTGGGCGACATGTAGGGTGAAACGAGGTGGGCTGAGACAGAACACGAGAGCTGGGAGCATATTACAGCAAGTCATGAATGTCATCCAAAGTGTTTAAAATTTATCCTAAGGGTAAGAGACAACTACTGAAGGGTTTTAAGCTGGGAGAAGATTTGACAATGTTTGTTTAGGATGATCATTCTTACTCTACTGTGTAGATATGGATTCAAAGGGATAAGACTAAGCAGAAAACCCAGAAAGCTGTTGCAAGTAATTCAGGTGCGAGATGGTTGCCTGACTCCCTTGGTAAAATGAACTTGGAAATAAATAGATGAATTGAAAGATATAAAGGAAGTATAAGTAATGAGATTACGTGACTAATTAGAAGTAGGGGGAGGAAGACAAGAACTGAGTCTGATACTACCAGCTCAGGCTGCTGGACGGTGGCATATTTTTCACTGAGAAGACATGGAGGGGAGGCAGATTTGGAAGGAAGGTGAAAACACTGTGTTAAGGTACCTGTGAGACATTCTAGCGGAAATGCCCCACAGTTCAATGGGTTCATGGAACTGCAGATTACTTACTGTCTGATTCCATTTGTCAGACATTCTTGAAAAAGACAAAACTATAGGAATCAAGAACAGATCAGTGGTCACCAGGGGTTAGGTGGAGAGGAAGGTTGTGACTACAGAAGGACAGCAGGGGGAAGCTTGGGGGATGATGGAGCTGTTTTGTATCCTGATTGTGGTAGCGGTACTATAAATCCATACAATTTTACTGTGTTAATTTAAAAAATAAAACGGGCAAATTACTGTTGGGTTTCTTGGCTTGGAGAACTGGTACCAATGGTGACATCACTCACTGAAATTCAGAACAAGAAAAGAACCTGGGTCCGGTCTAGGGAGACAGGGTGCCTTGCAGACATGCAATAGATATCAAGTAGGCGGGCGCGCCATCTGGAACTCAAAGAGAGCTGTGTGTGTCCTTAAAAATTTCAAAATCCTCACTTGGTGTAGAATCATGGGTTTTTCTCGTGGACTCGTACCCAGCTTATCAAGAGCTACCATTTCGTGTTCCTTTTCACTGCCGTTTACACTGGCCCCGCACCAGCAGACTTAGTCCTCCCATCAAAGCCATTACGTGGTGGTAAATAATAAGTATCAGTAACTCTCGAGTGGGTGTGGGTGTGGGGCTTATTTACAATAACAAACATAACAAAAGCAAAAGGTCATTTATTACAATTGTAGGGCATGAGTCACCTTATGGTGGTATCTGAAGCCAGGAAAGGGTCTGAGAAAGGCTTAGGAAGAGCACAGAATGTAAGAAGCAACAGCAGTGGCAGAGGCTCAAAGAAGAGAAGTGACAGAGGATCAAAGCTTGAAAGTTGCAGTCAGAGGAGTTGGGGGAAGTCAGGTGCCGTGCGCATGTGTGTACATAAGCATGTGCTGTCAAAGAAGCCAACGGAAGGAGAAAATTTTTAAAAAGAGGTGCCTGTGAGAGATCACACAAGTGCAGGAAAACGTTCTCTGTATTTAATTACAAGGACGTCATCGACAACTGTGGCTGACAGAAACTCAGCGCAGTGGTGGGGTAAAGGCTGGACTGCTGAAAGCTGAAGAATGTAGAAAAATGAATGTAGAGTTCAGCCAGCGTGGTTCAGTGTTTGACCGTTGACCTATGAGCCAGGTCACTGTTCCATTCCCGGTCAGGGCACATGCCTGGTTGCGGGCTTGACCCCCATCAGGGGACGTGCAGGAGGCACCCGGTCAGTGACTCTCATCACTGATGTTTCTATCTCTCTCCCTCTCCCTTCCTCTCTCTGAAATCAATAAAAACATATTTTTTAAAAAGAGAAAAGAAAAATGAATGTAGAATGAAGAAGAATATAGAAAATTGAGTCAGTAAGTGTATATTACTCTCTCTTTTTTAATAATTATGAACATTTATTAAGTGTCAAGAGTAGGGTGCAGTTGTTACTATACAAAAACATAATTATCAATATAGTGTCCCTGTCATTGAGCTTACAATCCAGAATGACATGCAGTGAGAATGCTGTAAGCCTACCTCAAAATTCTTTAAGTTAGAAATGGCTATTTTGGCAAATAAGTGAGGCAAAATGACCTCTTATTTCAGGTACAATGTTAATAAGGCTTTCAGTATGATCCAAAGAATGTTTTATTCGTATCCAGACATTTCCCTCAAATATACTAGGGCTTGGTAAAAAAAAGTGCACTTAGAAATTCGGTAAGAACAATGAATTATTTAAAATTGCCTTGTAGGACTTTAAACAAAGAGATGCTTACTAGCCCGAGTTTTGCCACAGCTAGGGAAAAGCCCATGAAACATATTATGAACTAAATTCAATTTGTGTTCTATTCCACTGACCGCTTTTCAACTCTTTCCCCCTTTCGCACACGTAAGGGCTCCAGTGATAGCCCTATTACGAAAGAAAGTGCTGAATCTGCATAAAATACCCTTAGTTATTAGAGGCTTAACAAGTCGAACTTCCAGGAAATATTAATTTATATTTTAAGAGAAGAGTGGGCAAAGATCACAGTAGGACCTCTGGCTGCAGGAGAGGCCTGGCTATGTCAGATATGGAGACAAAGCAGCCGAGTTCAGTCCATGCATCTTCAAAGTGATTAAGAATATAGATATTATGCTAAGCAAAATAAGCCAGTCAGAGAGAGAAAAATATCAGATGATCTCACTTACATGTAGAATCTAATGAACAAAATAAACTGATGGACAAATAAGTCCAGAGACATGGAAGCATGGAACAGACTAACAGATCTCAGAGGGAAGCAGGTGAGGCAGGAAGAGATTAACCAAAGAACTTAAATGCATATATGCATAGCTCTAGACACAGACAATAGTGCAGTGAACGCCTGGAGTGGGGTGGGAGCCGGCTGGAGGGAGGGAAAGGGGGGGAAATGGGGGACATCTGTAATACCCCAAGAATAAAAAAAGAATATAGATAGATGGTTACTTTTCTGCTCTGTATTTCTGGTTTAGGGATATTTAAGAATTTAGCATCAAGACACACAGCTCTTTAAGACACTTGACTCTGATGAAAAGAGGAGTCACATATATATGCCCTTTGACCCAGCAATCTCATTTCTAGGATTCAGTCACAAAGATACAAAATAATGCGTGCACAGGCTGTTTGTGGTATCACTTTTTGTAACAGAAAAACAGTTGAAACCCAAATATACACCAGTAGTGGACTGATGGATTAAACTGAAGGTATATTTATACAGTAGAGTACTTTGCAACTCTGAAGAGTAATAGAGACGATCTCTACATAATGTTTTGGCATGATGGCCATGATAAAGTGTTAAGTAAAAAAACGAAAGTAAAGGATAGTGTATATAATATGATAATATAATATAATATGTCTTTTGTGTAAGAAAGAAGGGAACTGCAAACACACATGTTCAAATGTATTTTCAAAAAGAAACTCCATAATAATGGTTTCTTATAGGGAAGAGAGGAAACAGCGGAGGGCCCAGGGATGGCAGCTAAACCTCTGTGAAGACACCTCATGATAAAATGTTAGTGTCTTTGGAACCATGCAAATGTTTTATAAAAATTTAAAAAATGAAACAAAAAGACATTTCTCTCCTAGTGTCCAAATTATAGTCTCTAAATACAATTTGTTAATAATAGGAATGAAGGCTCTTTGAGAAATGGCTGACCCTGGCTGAGAAAATGCACCACACCCTAAAGAAGAGTATAGCCAGTCTAGGTCAGGATGCACATCTGCCCTGGGATCAGGTGTTGCCAGTTGCCCTGCTCAGGATTAGAGTAGCTCCCCGAAGCAGGATTTGTTTGAGTTCCTGCGAAATAATATATGGGTGACCCTTTCGGGCTGCTGTAGGAACTGGGGATGTATATGTAGATCATAATGTTAAAATTAAGAATTATATGCAACATCTTAATCAAACCCTGACTGTAATTAATGATTTGGGATCATGTGCTAGGGATTTTTCTCTTACAGTTCAGCTACATCCCTTTGAAGCAGGAGACAGAGTTCTACTCAAAACATGGGAAACCAAATAGCCGGACAATCAACTGGAGGAAAAATGGATGGGACCCTGGGACGTGCTTCTCACCACTCCAACTGCTCTGAAGCTGGCAGGGGTAAGGCCCTGGATCCATCACACCAGAGTAAAGAGGGTGTCAGAAGGGGAAGAGTGGGTGACCGAACCCAAGGAACACCTCAAGGTTGTCTCTCGAAGGCAGCGTTGGTTACAGTCGAGCTCTCGAGCACTGCTGGTCTGGCTGAAAGACAACTAGTTTCATTCAGAAAAGATGAAAATATTTGGGTGTATTTAGCAAAAAATGTTCTTAATATCTCTGACTTTTGCCTTTCAGGAGGAACCTAGGTAGGACAGACCTTTACATGTTGCTTAGTGGGAGTTGGGAAGCCTATTGCTAAATACAGAATTATACTCATTCTACTAACTTTGGGAAGAAAGTCACGCGTGGGGCCCTTCATGCGCTGGGACCCGCTGTCCGGGCAAAGGGTGCGGGGTGTTTTCTCTAAAGGCCGCTGCAGTAGCTTCCTGTGCCGAATGCCTGCCGTTTACCGGGTGTTCTAGTTATTATCTTTCAGTATCTAATAACTACAATGTGAATTGTTCTGTTTGTTTCACCCTCCCTTATAGTAATGCCAGCTGGTTGGTTTCTGATATGTGGGGTAACTGCTAATTTGTATATCCCTGCCAACAGCACCTTGTTCCTTAGGATAATCGACCGTCTTTATGCCCTAGAAACATCACAGGATCTGAACCAAAAGAGACCTTCTCCTGGCCGTGGCACTGGACTGCAATGACGATCTCTCCTGCTGAATATGTTGCTTTAACCACTTTTGTTACGCTGGTAATGGTAGGTTCCCTTAATGTAGAAGTGGCCTAGCTGGCTCGTAGCGTGATAAAAGCCCTGAATGCCACTTCTAGGGCTATACATGGGATAAATCAAGAGCTGAGCCAGGTCAGCTCTAGGCAGTTCTAGAGAATCGGGCAGCAGTAGATTCTTTGCTGTTGCGACATAACCATGGCTGTGAAGAAATCAAAGGAATGTGCTGTTTTAATCTTTCTGACAATTCTCAAGTGATAGAAAGCAACATTCAACAAAGTAGGCAAACCATCGCCAAGATAAAACAACGAGAAGGCATTTTTTGCATTTGACGTATTCAATTTAACCTTCTGGCTGCCCAGCCTGTCGGGGTTGAAAGAATCCTTTTTAATTTTTCTACTGTTTATTTTTTGTAGTCTGATTGCTTGCTGCTGCATTCAATATCTTCCTCTTTTTAGATCCTGCATTCACTGTATTTCATCCCCGAGAACTGCTTTCAAGGCAAAAGCAAATGCAGTCCAGCAGGATGAGACTTTTCACCTAAAACTAATCTCATAGATACAAGATGATAGAAATAGCAGTGGGGAATGTTAGGGGCAGAAATAGAATAGTGGTGTTAGGGGTAGAAATAGAATACTGGGGACTAGGTGTAACTATAAGAAATAGTAATCATGCTCTATTAACCGTGCTTATTCTATTCTAATTAGAGAAAGCACATTCTAACCTGGCTGAGGGCCATATGCCCCAGGACATGGGAGTTAACTTTGGAATTCGGTCCATTCTCCTTCTCAGAGAACTAACTGCCTATCATCATGGAAAGATTAACAGCCTTGTTCCCGAAACAATGGAGTCCCAGATGCACCCACCCTTTGCAACCCCCAGCCCACATTGCCTGTAACCTGTTAGCATTATACCTTGCCTACTTCCCCAGGCCTGTAATTCCTACTTTCCCATGTAATCTTTGTCCTTCTATGCAATATAAGCAGCTGGCTTATGGGGGGCGGTAGAGCAGATTTTCGTGGATGACCTGCTGCTCTCCCATATTGCTGACATTATTGGAATAAACCCTCATATACGATTCAACCCTGTCTCTGCTTAACTGGCTCAAGTAGTGACAGGCAGCTGGACCCATTCGTTGTCTGTGTTCAGTGCCAGAGACCCATAAAGAAGTGTCTTTCAACTAATACTCTGCGAGAGGGAATGTAAAATGGTGCAACCACTTTGAAAAACATTTTGACATTTTCCTAAAAAGGTAAACAAGGCACTCTCCCTCTGGGGAGAACTCCAGGGCCTTTTTCTTCTCTCTCTTCTCTCCAGGCACATTACCTTTGCCTTTCTCTCTCTGAAGCTCCAAGGGCCATTCTTTTAGCAAAACAGTTTTAATGCACATGGAGGTCAGATTGTGGCAGGTGGAAGAGTAGTTGGTGAGTAGGTGCAGAACAGAAAGAACATAAATGTAGGAAGACTCTCAGTTCCAAGGAGCTAAAAATAAAAAAATAAAAAGGGAGAGGGGATTTACATTAAGTAAGGGAACAGATAGCAGTGTCTTATAAGAGAAATTAAAGAGATTAGCCTCAGCTTGGCTTCTTGGCCATTGACTCATGCAGAACGTGATGTTTGGATTCCATATAGGGAGTCAGCAGGTAGGTTGTGAGAAAGGATGAACCAAGTAGAAGGAACTGCACAGGCAATGGCGAGATGGACGGTGCAGGAAATGGAGCACCAGGGCTCTGATCATACTGCCAGGAGTGTGGACTTGCATTCATAGGGACAGGGAACATGGAATGTTCTTGAGCAGGGGAGGAACAAGATCAAGGTTGAACCTCAGGGAGATTAGAGGCAGCTTCTGCAAGATAGAGGAGTTTCCCAAGGGGTAGAGAGACCCCCTTGTGGAATCCAGAGCATGAAAGAATGAAGTTAGAAATTGCTGGCAAATCTAAATTTAGCTGCAGAGACTAAATTCTCCTCAGCTGTGCCCTGGGGCTGTAAAGCCCAGCAAGCGAGAGGGTTCCAGGGGGTCTCAAGTGGTATGACCAGTGCAGATCTGCCCTCTGCAGATCCTGCCTGCAGGGAGACACACAGCAACCTCTCGTTTGGGCTGCCAGTGGCAGGATAGAGGGTTTCTCCAACCATAAGAAAGTGCCCCCACAGGTTATCTCTGCCCCATCAGTGGGGTGTCTGAGAATAGATATGACATGGAGTAAGGAACAGGGCGCAGCATACTACACCCCCCCCCCAAAAAAAAAGACTAAAAAGGTCCCGGGAGTGTCAAATCCAAAATATAAAAGATTTCCCACTACCACCCCATTTCTGGGGACTCTGGCTGCAGAGAGAAGTGGCAGATTTTGAAGGGGGAAGGTTTGTCTCTGGGGTCAAGCAGGGGAGACCTCAAGGCTTGGAGGAGATTAGGGGGCAAAATCAAACCTGAAACTTACCCTAATTTTCTGTTGCCCTCCTCTCCTCATTTCTTTGTGTCTCAGACTACAAGAGGAGTATCTGACATAGATTTTGACATCTTGGTTTGCAGTAGCTGCTTCCTCCTTAGGAATCCCAGCAGCCCCGTCTTTTTTCCCCTTTCGACTCAGATGACCCCTCATCCACCCCCAGATTCCTCAGGGACCCAGGCAGGCCTCTCCCCAAAGCTCTCATCCCCTGCAGGTCCCCCCACCCTGCCTGTCACTTGACAACTCTGGCTCTTATCCAGTCTCCTGTTGACTCACTTCATTTTCCTGGTTGACTTTGGGTCCCAGTCAACTCTGAGCCTTTATCTCTCTCCCTCTGGGAACCTGCCCTGGGTGGGGGTATCAGATCCCCCACCCACCCTGGCTGCGCAGAGGTCCAGGCCTTGGTGATAAGAGAGGAGGAGTCCTGGGGCAGCAGCTGCTGGGTGTTGTGTGAGAGGACGCCCAGGCTTTGCAGCTGCTGTTTCTAGGGGAGACTCCTCAGCAAACAGTGAGTCCCAAGTCAGGAGGAGGGAAGCAGAGCATGGGTCAGGCCAGGCCCCCAAGAAGAACAGACTCCCTCTGAGAAAGCCCATGACACCTTTCAGTGATCTCTTCTTCCTGTGTGCGACCTAAACCCATCTCTCATTTCAGGCAGTGATGGGGGGCACAGGGTCCCCCAAATCTGTTCAACCAGCCCCTTTTCAGGACCAGAAAACCTTCCAGAAAGCAAATAATTTTCCAAGAAGTGGAACCCAGTGACTGCATGGAACCAGGAAACAGGCCTCTGTCTCTCTTTGCACACAGCTCCAGCCCCCAGTTCCCACACAGGTGCCTGCCTCCCATCCACAGTCCTTGAGAGTTTACAGAGCGCCCTCGGCGAGATAAATAAACCCAGTGAGGTTAGTTTTGATGTTCCCATTTCATGGCCAAGGTCCTCAGGAGACCCTATTGGACGGGGGGTGGAGGTATTATGTCTCACTCCAGAGGCCTGAGTAAGGTACACAGATACCTCCCCATCACAGACCTCCCGCCTCCCAACTGGTGCCTAACCCTGAAGCTCCAGGGACCTGCAGGTGAGAGAAACAGGATGTGGGTAGCTGGGGACCAGGGATCAATAATAGGAACTGGGGAGCAGCCAGGACCCGGATGCAGGTCCTTTACTATTGTTACTGGCAGGAGCCAAAGGAAAATCTGCAGGCAGCTTCTGGTCAGCAAACAAGATCAAACACCATCTTCTGCGCGGCTCCATTCCCCCACCCCCCAGTGACCCAGGGTCTGAGCACCCTGCTCCCCAGCTGTTTCCCTCAGGACCACCACCCTTCCAGGACTAAAGTTCCCAGCAGGCTCCCAAGGCACAGCCACCAGCTGTTCTCATCCCTTGGGGACCCAGGCATCCAGGCTTGCCCTCCACCCTTCACAGGCCTTCAGGAGCCCCATTCCACCTGGCCCTGGGACCTGGACCCTCCTCCAGGAAGTTGGAACCATCTGCCTGGCAGGTGGCCCAAGGTGTGGCCTGAGGAGCTATTTTAAAGCCCAGCCCAGGGGCTAACCCTGAAGCTCCAGGGACCTGCAGGTGAGAGAAACTGGGGTCTCCTTCGGAAGCAGTACATCAGGTCTCCTACTCTTGCCCAAGACTCCAGGCCTCCCCACCCTACCCCCAGACCCAATGGACATCCAACTCTCTATCCTTGCCCCTGTCCTGTCCTCCCCACCCCACCCCACCCAAGATATGCACACACACCAGCCCTTGGATCCAGCATTCCTGCTGCCCAGGTGGCCGTTGTCCTGAGACTGGGCCCTTCTGTCCTCTTTGGGACAGTCTCTGGCAGGAGAGGCAGGCCAGCCTCCTAACCCCTTTTCTTTCCTCACTGCAGACATGGGTTCCCTGTGGAGCTGGTGGACACTCTGGGCCGGAGCAACCCTCCTGTGGGGTAAGTAAGACCAAGATCCCATTCCTACTCTTGTTCCAGTCTAGGAACTCTGCCTGCCTGGGTCAGCACCCTCCATTTGTGTCCCCTCCATAAGCCCATCTCCCAATGTCACCTTAGCTGCAGTGGGAGAGGGCCCCTCGGGCTCTGCAGAGAAGTGTGGTGGAATTCAGGGGAACACCTCAGTCCCCAAATTCAGGATGCAAGAACCACCACTCCCTGAGCCTTCTGCAACTCAAGCAAAGTTTAGACCCTACCCCTCATTCTGCTGAGTTGATGGAAAATTTCACTAACGTCATTCTTGGAGGGCTTGGTGCCCAGTTCTCCAGGGTCATGTCCAGGACTAGAGTCTTAAGTAAAGTCAAAGGACCGGGGGAAGGATGGGACACCAGGATGGGACACCTGATCCCTTGGCCCCGTGGGACACTAGGATACCCTTCAAGGCTCCCCTTGTTCAGCAGACACTCCTTCTATAACTCCCACACTCTCCCCAAGACCCCATAGACACCTCTCTCCCTCCCCCTGTCCTTCTCCCTCCCTCCCCTTCTGGAGAATCTCTTCCCATTTGGGGGTGTTGAAAAGTACCAACTGCCCTCTATTTCTTGGACACATTCTGTCCACACTCCATAACCCCCTTTCTTCCTCTTACCCACTTCACTGCCGCGGCCCCCGCAGTTTTATTAAGACAGAAATCACAAACTGGCAACTGAATCCAGCTGCTTTGGGCCCCATAGTGCTTAAAACAATTCTGGGTTGGAGATTTCACATAGAAATTCAGACAGCCAGTTTCTCACACACACACACACAAAAATTTTTAAAAAAATCTGGCATCAAAAAGGAAAAAAGAGCTGATAAGCTGTCAAAGTAACAACAAGCTAAAGCTGGTAGCAACAGCCCACTTTTGAGGGTGCTTAATGCTCCACTGACACAATTACCACCTGAACTGCTTCCCACTTTTACTTCACTTGCCTGGCCCCGTCAGTACTTGAATTCGAGATCTATGACCAAAGCGTTCAGACTATGGGAAGACAAAGCCAGAAAGGATGGAAGGTGAACACTGCCTGAAAAAGGAGACAGGGAATGGGGG